TTGTCCCAACTTGCTAGCCTAACAGACTATATTGTGTGATGTGGAGAAAACCATTAAGTTGGAAACTTAATGGAGATGTTTAGATGGTTCATCACCTGGAAAGAAATTGTATGCTTTTAGGCCCAAGTAACATTTATTTATTTGTAATGCTAGGGTTTTCCCCCCATAATTGGAAAAGTTTTTTTCTAATAATTGGAAGTTGGCTTACCAATAATTGACTAAAGCAGGTTTATTTCTATTAGTGGATGTAAGAGGTGGTTGGAGACTACATGACTTTTCTTAGTACTGTCTTCCGTTGTTCCATGGTTACTGTATTACTGTAACTATGTCCTGTGGCCCAGCCAGCAGGAAGGAGAAAAGGGTCCTGGATTAGACGAGCTGATCCCTCAGTGCCTTCCCGGGGCCTGGGCACTAAGGCCAGAGCTTAGTCTGGGAACTGTAATTAGGGGTGGAGTGTCTTAGTTACTCCACTGATTTCATAACAGAAGGAAGCACAGGAAGGATGGCTTTGGGTGCAGCTAGCTGTTTGAGCCACCTACTTCATGAGGCTGTCATTCTTCACAATCTGTCACTGTTCAATGTGACATAATCATAGTCTTGATTTCACTAGGGATGGAGGATGTTTCTTTGCATAGTAGTTCAATTAAAAGCATCTTCTGATATAAATACTACCTGTTACTTCCATGAAGTCTATTCTGGCCCAGCATTCAGAGTTTTGTTCTACCTCACAAGAGCATCATGTTTCAAAACAAGTCAGACATTAAGGAATTTGTCCAGGGCATCAACCATTATCATGATGCCAGAGTGCCAGAAAGACTTGTGCTCTTAGTGTGTCATTGATGGTCAAGGAAGGAAGGTGGCTCCGCTTCCATTGCTATTTGGGTTGGCTTTTTATGTTCCCTTTTTGTTTGTTTATTTGTTGTTGTTGTTTTTTGAGACAGGATCTCACTGTGTCACTCCTGCTGTCCTGAATTTTTTTCTTTTTAGTACAAGAATTGAACCCAGAGCCTCATGGTTACGAAGCAAGTGTTCTACCACTGAGCTATGTATATCTCACCCTGCTAATGCCTTCCAAGTGCAAGGTTGAGTGGTGCTGAGAATCTCAGAAGCCTGAGCCCGAGCAGGTCTGGGACTGTCTTCTCATTTTCTCTGTCTGGATCTGAGTACCACAGCTTAGAAGCAGTCACCAACTGGGTCCTCCCACTCCAACAACACAGTCACCCGGTCACTGTCGCTCCTCCTCTTCTTTGCCTGCTGGACTTTGCTTTGCTGGACTCTGTCTCCTCCAAGCCTTTCTCCTGGGCTTTAACCCCAGAACACTGAATCTTCTGGGTTTTTTTTGGGGGGGGGTTGTTTTTAATGGGACCATTGAGTAGTTGTTGGAATGAGTGTTTGTGCAACTGTGATACTAGCCCAGGTGGCTGGTTGTTCCACGAGGAAGCACCAGCCATCTGGATCTCACCCCACATGGCCACCACACAGGCTTAGGCTAAAACCTATCCTTGGGATATAGGAAAACAGGGATAGGACAGCTAAGTTGTCCTAACCTAGTTGACCCATCACACTGCATGGCCTTCTAGCCAGCAGGTACCTCCCATTGTGGAAATGGGAGACCATGTGAGGCAGAATACCCTGCCACTGGCCAGATGCCCAAGACCTGCTCCAAAAGACAGAGGGGCCTGTCTGAGGCCAGCTGGTGTCACAAGAGACGACCTCTCCAGCAGTGGTAGTCAACTGACCCTGGGAATACAGCTCAGCAGCAGCTGCACCCTGCTTCCATGCCACTGCATCTGAGGTAGAATGCTTTCCCAGGGGGTGTTGCTGACTTGGGGCGCTCCAGGCAAGTCCCTACTTTTCTTAAGATACAGTCCAACAGGAGAGCAATCTAGAGGATGTCTCAGAGGCTGTGACCTCGGCTGTTTGGGGTCAGATGCCACAGGGCTGAGGTGCTCAGACTGGATCTTGCCAGAATGTCTCAGAATGAGGTTGCTGTAGGTCATCAGGGAGCAGATGACTCCAGGATAAAGGCATTGTCCCTGTTGAGTAATAAAGTAACTGTTTCTTTTTATTCAGTGTTCTTGTGGGCTAACCCTGTCCTCTAGCAGAGGACATTTTGTGCCCCCCTCTGGTAACCTTCTTTCATTCTGAGAAGAAGGCAAATGAGTAAACCAAGGCTCTGATGTGGCAAGCCAGAAATGGAGAGCTGGATTTAGGAAGGTTGATGCAGAGCCCATGTTCCAACTGCTGGCTTAATTTAAAAAGATTGCACAGCAGCAGGTGCCTCCCTGGAGTGAAGTCCGCGTTGAACAACAACAAGCTGTTTTCCCTGGAGATACCTAAGACTCTAGGTCTCTTTGACAGTGGAAAATTGACCCTGCCTTTAGACATTTAGTGTTTATTACATTCAGTCTAGTGGGGTCTCTCCACTACAGTGGTGTCTTCTGCAGCCCTAGGTCGCCGGCTGGAGGTCAGACTACCATATTAGTAGAACAAAGATTTTTTTATTTTTAAAGATATGGGGTTTTTTGTTTGTGGAAACAGGATTTCTCTGTACAGCCCTGGCTGTCCTGAAACTCAGTCTGTAGACCAGGCTGACCTTGAACTCACAAAGATTCATTTGCCTCTTCCTCCTAAGTGTTGAGATTAAAGGCATGTGTCACCACTGGTTAAAGATAGGTTTTTATTAGCCAAAAGTTAATGGTTACCACTGGCTGGCTAAAGATGGGTTTTTATTAGTCAAAAGTTAATGCCAGTGAGATGGCTCTGTGGGTAAAAATGCTTAACATGCAAACCTAACAGCTTGAATTCTACCCCCAGAACCCACATAAAGGTGGATTAAGACAACTAACTCCGGAGAGTTGTCCTCGGATCTCCACACCCATACCATTAATAGCAACAAGAACTTACTACAGGCTGGGTGGTGATTCAAGCATTCTGTCTTGAAACATGAACAAATGATACTGATGATACTATCTTTTTTTAAATATTTATTTATTTATTATGTATACAATATTCTGTCTGTGTGTATGCCTGCAGGTCCAAAGAAGGCACCAGACCCCATTACAGATGGTTGTGAGCCACCATGTGGTTGCTGGGAATTGAACTCAGAACCTTTGGAAGAGCAGCCAGTGCTCTTAACCTCTGAGCCATCTCTCTAGCCCCTGATGATACTATCTTGAAAATGAACAAAGTAATTCCCTACTACAGGAAACAACTTTTGTTTCTATATGTTGCTAGTAACTTTTTTGTATTTATTTTGTATATGAGGGTGTGTGTATGTGCACCACAGCATGTGTATGGAGATGAGTAGCTTTATGGCTTCTCAGGATCAAACTCAGGATCCCAGAATGTATAGCACACACCTTTACCTATTGAGCCATCTTCATGGCCCACTAGTTTTAAAGATTTACATATGTATATGAGTGTTGAGCCTCTGTGTGTGAGAGAGAGACAGAGAGACAGAGACATACATGTGCTTGGTGCCTGTGGAGGTCAGGGAGCATTAAGAGCATTGGATTCCCTAGAACTGGGTGGTTGTGAGCTGCCACTATAGGAGCAACAAGTGCTTTTAACTGCTGAGCCAGCTCTTCAGCCCCTAGTTCAGGTTTTTTGAGGCATTTCTCAATCTGTAACCCAGTTTGACTTCAAGATTACAGCAATCTTCCTTTCTCAGCCTCCCAAATGCTGAGTGCCATCATTTCCAGCTAAATTTGTAATGATTTGTTGCCACTGTTAAAATTTGATCTATTGGTGAGTATTGATTGAAATTTTGAAAACTTAAAATTCTGTGAGCTTGATAATTTCATAACATTGAATCTTTGGTGTTGGGGATTGAATCTAGGACCTTACATCCTTAGCTTTTTTTTTTTTTTTTTTTTTTGAGACAGGGTTTCTCTGTAGCCTTTGGAGCATGTCCCGGAACTAGCTGTTGTAGACCAGGCTGGCTTCAAACTCATAGAAGTCTGCCTGCCTCTGCCTCCCGAGTGCTGGGATTAAAGGCACATGGCACCACCACCTGGCTGAACTATATTTTTAATTCTTCATTTTTTTAAGTATTTAAAAGATATTTCTAATATAGTAGATAAGTCTATTTGAAGTCCCCAATAATTGGGTGAAAGAAGTCCACAGGGGGGTAAAAGTCCACATAACAAAATGTTTAGAGAACATTGGTGTGTAGACCTAGAAGTCATGTCAGAATTTCCCTCTAAGCCTTGTCCTGTCACCTTTGCCTCATCCCCTCAGGACTTGTCTTCAGTCCTGTGAGAACTTGTGCACATTCCCCTTTCCTCTCTCCTGGCCTTTGCTGCATTGGGACTTGGTAGTATGCCTGCTGCCTGGTACTCTGGGGAACAGAAAAGACCATGGGAGCACGCTGGCTACTGCCAGTTGCAGTGTGTAGGACAGTTTCACCAGAGAATTAAGTTTACTTAACTAAGACCCTACAGCTGCAGCTATGGCCAGGACATATGCATCCTGCTGTCAGTCCCCTCCAAGGGGTCCTGTATCAGAGGCAGCCTGCCAGGCTTTGCCTTGGCCTTAGATCAGTTGCACTGTATAATGAATAGTTGAGAGCCAAGTAGAATACCAGGGTAATTATCAGGACCCTGACGCCTTGTGCTTGGAACTCCTCTCCAGGAATCTAGTGACCCAGAGAAGAGCAACTGTACTTAGCATACCAGGAGGAATCCAGTCCCCATCTCTCTCTTTCCAGCCCATGTCTTAGTGTATTTCCTGTTGTGATAAAACTGCATTACCAAAAGCAACTTGGAGAGGAAGGGGTTTGTTTTAGCTTCCAGGTTACATACAGTCTATCACAAACCAGGATAGGAGTTCAAGGAGAAACCTCAAGAAAACACTACTTGCTGGCTGCTTCCATACTCACAGGTACTTTCCTTAGATGGCTCAGGCACACCTACTTAAGGTTAGTACTGCCCACAATGAACTGGGCACTCAATTAGCAATAAAAAAAAATGCCCCACAGACATACACATACCCATAGGTCAGTCTTACAGAGGTAATTTTTTATTGAGGTTCTTGCTTCCCATGTGTGCCAGGTTGACAAAATTAGCATACCAGACAATACTGTCTTCCAGGGGCCTGTTTTGAAATCATATTCTTTCAAAGTACAGCCATGTGCTTCATAACAATGTTCTGATGAAGGTTGGATTGCATATACAAGCATCCCATAAGATTAAGTGCTGTCATAGCTGTTTTCGTTTCTATAATCTGTAACGTTTGTACTACAAAATTTTCATGTAAGAGTTATTTGTAAGAGTAATTTCCCAGGGTCGGGAGTGGTGGTACATGCCTTTATTCTCAGCACTCAGTAGGCAGAGGCAGCCTGGTCTACAGAGTGAGTTCCAGGACAGGCTCCAAAGCTACTGAAAAACCCTGTCTCGAAAAACAAAAACAAAATAATAATTTCCCACTATTAATTATGTTTGGTGCTTTTGATGTCTTAACAGCTGTACAACTATCACTGTGATGTAACTGCAGAACACTTTTAACCCCTCAGCAGGTCCCTCCCCCATGGGATGTATTAGAGATTAGGTTCTGTGTGGGCCTGGGGCAGGCATTTTCTCATACAGGAAGGTGGAAAGACTTTTTGACGTGCCAAGGTTGACTTGAGGCCAGGTTAATCTGATTCCAGATCTCCTTCCTGTCCATTCTGTTTGCCTGCTACAAGCCAACCCTTTCTTCTCTGAATGGGAGAGGAAATGGAGTTGTGGTGCTCTGCTGACCCCATGCTACAGGACTGTAGATGTTTGTCCTTAGAGCTGAGTCACATTCCATATGGCCTGGAATGGGGGTCGGAAATAAAGCAGTTTGTTTTATTTCATGGCTCTGTAGTTAGTGTCTCCTCAGTTTTGGTAGGCATCTCAGAATGTCAATTCCATCCTTGCTTCTGTAAAAAACCCCATCTGGAAGTTCTTTAGAGAAGCAAGATCTCAGTCTGGTGGGTGAGTGTGGCCAAGTAAAGGAGAGTTTGCAGCTCCTTGGTTAGCTTCATGCAGGGTGAGGGGAACCCATCAGGTTTCCAATCCATGATTGCTACTTTGAACAAGCAGCCCCCAGAGCAACTGAATGAAATGTACATCACATTTCAGACTCAGACATAATCTCTAGGTTGGGACCATGAGATGTGAGGGTAGCTTTTCAGAAGAGTGGTTCTGTATAACCTGTAAGAGGATGGAAGCTTCAGCCGTTGGTCTGTGGAAAGGTGGGATGCAGGCAAAGGTTGTCTGAGTAACTTCCTGCAGAAGGGAATTGGGGAGGGGGGCTGGTTTAGGCTGTACTGGTCATGAGTGGAGTTTCTCAAACTTGTCATATTAAAATTGAACCCAAAGTTTGAATCTCATTTCTCTGCCCCTGTCACTGATTTGTTTAGGAAGCAAGGTGTCCTGGTGCATGCCTATAATCATAGCATTTGGGAGGCTAAGGCAGGGAATGGAGTGTTAGAGGCCAGACTGGACTGTTTCAAAGGGGAAAATGTGAAGTTGGAGAGTAGGGACAAAGTGAATCACGAACCCCAGGATCTCACCCTTGGCAAACTTGGCACCTGTCTATGTGCCTGGATTTACTGTAAGGGCATCTCCTTCTCCACCAGTGCCTTGCAGCAAGTATTCAGGACATTTGATGGACTAAAACAGAAGGGGGCAAGTCAGTGCCAGACAGCAACCCATAGCTGACTCCTTTTGGGTCTGTAGGGATTGAGAATGGTGGGCACCCAGAGAATGTAGCAGTTTTGCCACTTGGGGAAAGAAAAGGGGTGGGAGTGGAGTGGTTATGCTGTGATAACTCACCTGGAAGATGTGGTTAAAGGTGTTCTTTCTTTCTCTGAACTAGCCTCCTAGATCCACGTTCAGAGGTGAATTACTCTCACCTTTCATTCTCTGCACCAGGAACCTCAGGTAAGAAATCCAGATCTCTTTCCAAACCTTGCTACAGCAGCCTGCAGTAGAAGTCTGCCCCTCTGTGGCTCAGTCAAGAGTTGGAAGAATGGGTGCCAAGCTTCCCTGGGTAAAGGTAGAGGTTAGGTTCCCAGAGAGGATTGCTGGGCCTTGTCCTCAGAGGTCTATCCTTACCCCGCCCCAGCTTCCAAAGAGTTGTGGGTGACCATGGAGCAGTGTATAGCTCTGGTAGGTTATCCCTGGCAGAGATAGAGTATCCCAAGTATCAGAGCGAGCCCAGTCGTCACTGATGCGCCAAAGGTAGTAGACCTAGCCACCAGCCCTGATCCTCCACATACTTAGATTTCCCTTTGAGGAAAGGAAAAGGTGGTAGAGCGTAGATACCTGAGCTTGAACCAGAGAAATCTCTGAAAGGAGCCAGAGAAAACACTTAGGTGCTTGGGCTTGGTGGACATCTGAAGATGGTCACAACCTAGTGTGTTGGTCCTGCATAGAAACAAGGAGCTCAATTTGTTTTCCCTTCAGGTCCAGGATTATCAGCAGCAAAGATGTCTAATGAGCCACCCCCTCCTTATCCTGGAGGCCCTACAGCCCCACTACTAGAGGAAAAAAGTGGAGCCCCACCTACCCCAGGTAAGGATATCAAATTGCCCTGGGTAAGGGTTCCTAGATGCTGAGTCAGTACCTCATATCATTAGCTCTTGAGGGTCTTTCCTGACCTCAGCCTTCTGGGGTCTCTGTTGTAACTCCCTCTCCATTCCAAGTGTGATTGAGGCTTTTCACAGTGAACTAACCTTGCTTCAGGGTTACCCTGTGCCCAGTCTGTGTGTAGCTTAGCCACCTTCTTTCTGCCTGTGCAGGCCGCACCTCCCCAGCGGTGATGCAGCCGCCACCAGGCATGCCACTGCCCTCTGCTGACATTGCTCCTCCACCTTATGAGCCACCTGGTCATCCAATGCCTCAGCCTGGCTTTGTGCCCCCTCACATGAATGCAGATGGCACCTACATGCCTGCAGGTGAGTTGGGAAGAGACTTGAAGGAAACCGGCAGCTTCCACCCTGAATTGACTGTGGCAAGGCATCAATCATGCCATGTGAAATGATTGTCACTCACCAAGGACTGTGGTGTGGCTTTTCCCTGTCAAGGACATAAGCCCCGTTGGAAGCCTGGGCCTTTCTCACCAGTAGCTCTCAGTCCCAAAGTTTGTGGTTCGTATAGTTTCTGGGGTTGGGTGATCTTTGATATATCAGACATTGACATGCAAAAGATTTCTATACAGGAGAGGTATGCTTCCCTCTTGTTGCTGACACCCTCATTCTTGCAGGCATGCATGGAAAAGCAGTCTTGGCATGCCAGAGCAAGAAAGTTAAGTAGATCTGGGATATGTTCCCAGCTGTCTGCCACATCTGTCTTGGTTTTAGTGTGTAGAGATCAAAAGACCTGGGCCATTTAAGAGGCTATGTGGGCTGTGCCCTAAGTGCTGGGATTCTAGGTTTTGTGTTCTCTCAGCCAGCCAGTGATCTCTCTGTGTTGTTTCAGGTTTCTACCCTCCTCCAGGCCCTCACCCACCTATGGGCTATTATCCACCAGGACCCTACCCACCAGGGCCCTATCCTGGCCCTGGGGGCCACACGGCCACAGTCTTGGTCCCATCAGGGGCAGCCACCACGGTGACAGTACTACAGGGAGAGATCTTTGAAGGCGCACCTGTGCAGACAGTGTGTCCCCACTGCCAGCAGGCAATCACCACCAAGATTTCCTACGAGATTGGCCTGATGAACTTTGTGCTGGGCTTCTTCTGCTGCTTCATGGGGTAGGTGTGGGGTGCTGAGAAGTGGTGGTGCTGTTGGGGCTCTGTAAGCTGCCTGACTATTTCTTCAGGCCTCAGCCTATCTATCTGTCTTCAATTCAGGTGTGACCTGGGCTGCTGCTTGATCCCCTGCCTCATCAATGACTTCAAGGATGTGACGCACACATGTCCCAGCTGCAAAGCCTACATCTACACATACAAGCGCTTGTGCTAACGGAGCTAGACTTGGACTCCCCCACCTATTACTCTGGCCCCATGTGCTTTGCTCCCCATGCTCAGTGGTCACCATCCCTCAGCCCCCACTTAGGGTTGGAAGTTTTGCCACTGTTCCCTGGAAATCCTGTCCTCACCTTGCCCTTCCCTGTGCATCCGACTCTTCTAGCAAAAACTCCGTTGGATTTAAGGTCAAGGGCCAGTGGGTGGCATGGGGGTGGCACAGATCTTGTGTGTTGCTTGGGCATTTGCAATCCAGAAGATAAGCTGGAGGGTCTCTTACTGGGGTCCTCATTCCTCCTTTCTGTATAAGGTCCACGCTTGGTCCTTACTCTTCCTGGGACCAAAAACACCCAAAGCATCAACAGGTCCCAGACTAGGGCCTACAGTGAGGGTTGTGCCTGGAACCATAGTTGTTTCTGACCTGGAATGAGGTCAGGGCATCATCTAGAGTTAAGTGGACCCAAGCAATACAGGGTCTTAAGGCCTGGGCTTATGTGGAGTATGTTGTCTGGGGTGCCAAAGGCGGAATAAGAAAGAAATAATGACTCCAACTCTGGGCCTCAGAACTCTCAGGTATGGAAACACAGGACTTCTACCCACTGTCCAGGAGGTACCCAAGAGCTGCCTGGCATAAAGCAAAGAGGACACTGGGCTAGTTAAAGCCCTGGTAGCCAAGAACAACTTGCCCCTGTTCTTACTTAACTTCCTTTGAGTCAGTCAGTGTGCAAAGATCTCCTTTCTGGCCACACCTCTGTGAACCCCTATATTTTCTGGGGCCAGAAAGAATTAATGCCCATGAGCCTGTCTTGTCTACTTTTGTGTCTGTGCTGTGTGTGAATACAACTTCTGCCTGGTGGCTTGCTGACAGATGGCAGATCAGAAGAGCCTCCTTGTAGGTTCATTGGTCTCTGGAGTAAGTGCCAGTCTTTTTTGCCATAGATGGGACAACTGTGGCACTGGGCTGGGGACCAGGAAGAAGTCACAAATGATGGGGGTGTCCTAGGGACATGAGTCTTGCCTAGGGTGTAAACCCAAATTTGTCTATTTCCTAAATGGTCTGTGAAGATGCTCATGTGGGCGCGTGTCTTGCTGCTGTCCCTCTCCTGGTCTCACACTACCACTGCATGGCCTCCTATCACTGTGAACTGTGGCCTGGTTCCAGTTTGTAGTCTCATTAAACTGGCCCTTTCACCCTCCTGCCCTGGGCCTCTGCTGTCTTGCCTGGCTTCCTTCTTTTCTGAGGGTCAGGGTGGGACTACAAGTAGTCTTACTGGCAGGCAAGAGATTGAGCCTGGAAAAAACATGTTTAAAAACCTAATTACGCCAAACCAGAATTATATGTAGACTTGCCCTGGGGGAACCCAGCTGTTCTGAGCCTAGGAGGTTTTGGTTTCCACTACTTACATAATTAGGTGTCCAGGCTGCAGAGCCTGAGAACTGGAGCCCTGTCCTAGCTTAGTGACCTCCTAACCTGAAGGTGCTGCTCTTTGGTCCTTAAACAAGACAGCACTATTGGACTGAGACCTTATATTCTGAAGATAAACACTGAAGTCTGTCACTCAGGCATTCAACCAGGTTGGCATTGGTAAAACCAACCATCAGAACTGTGAAGGTGGTGGACTCACGTTTCAAGAGTTTCCCTGCTGTTTTACTATTTTTTTCACACAAGACTTACAGGAATAGATTCCTACTAATAAATAAAAATATTTAACTTCACATTTCTATTTTAGACTATGAATTGTTTAAATATAAGTATCTGCTTTAAAAGTAAGAAACCTCAAAGTATTTCTAAGAAAAATCACAAGTTCAAGTAGACATTAAGACTCTTTATAATGCGTAACATGAATACATGGAAAAATAAGGTACAAGGAATTGTCCAGAAGTGTTGGGAGGTAGGCGAGGGCTGTCAACGAGGATGTATACAACATGCTACTGTTTCTGCGGGACTCTACTTCCCTGTAGACTGTGGGACCAGGAGGTAGTCTCACCTACCCTATCCCAGGGTGGAGGAAGTGTGAGGTGTCTGCTTTAAGAGTGCTGAAGCAGGTATACTGGTCCGTGGAGACAGCTCAGGATAACAGCCTGCTTAGGGATAAGCTCTGGGAGGGCTTTGAAAGCAGAAAAGCATAGTTTTCACCCCCAAAAGGCTCCCTGAGGCCTAGAAAATTGAGTATTATCAGTTGGTATGACCCTCTCCCACAAAGCCTGGGTGTGCGGGCAGCCCACTCCCAAGCAAAGGCAATGACTGCTCCAAGTACTATTAAGAAAGAAGAAAATGTACCCAGGCCTCCAAAGTGACAGAAATCCTGGGGCACAGCCAGATGAAGAGGTCCAGAGGCTGACTTGCAGTGGAGTATTGGCTGTCATTAGAGTGATAGCCTATGCTTGGTGTGCACCTGGCTGGCAGAGAAGATGCTGTTTACGCAGAGGCTCTCGTGCCTGGCTTTTATTGGTTGCTTGTTTTCTCAAACCCAGCATTAAAAAAGTTGCCTGAGGTGGTAGTTTAGTCAGAGGTGGAGATAGGGATGGAACAGGTCACTTGGGGTAGGATGCAAATAACATGACAGGTCCTTCACATGTAGTACCAGGCCAGGAGTCCAGCAGCCAGGGCCACACTGGCAGCTAGAATGAACTGGAGGCTAGGCTTCCTCAGCACAGCCATGGCTGTCCGGAAGGGGCAGCTGCTCCCTTCCAGGGTACCTGTAGGTGCACAACAGGAGACAGGGCATCAGTGGAGAGCAATGACATAACCTGCTCCAGAAATGTTAGGTTAGGACCCGCAACCTACCTTTGTCTGGCTGAGCAGCATAAAAGGGGCATTTACGTATATCTCCCTTCCCATCATGCATGGGGAGTCCATCCTCCTGAGTTTCTCTTGCCAGCATGGAGCCAGCCTGGTCCAGTTCACTGAATATCTGAGGAGCAGAAATCAACTGAGCCTAAAGTAGGCAGATTTAGAATTTGCACCCTACTCACCACCCATAGAGAAACTGGAGCCCAGATACATCTGATCAGAACTAGGTGAACATCAAGCCAGAAAAGTGAACACTTCCCTGCTGTTCTAACACTGAGGGCTGACGGGGTTCTGGACCAGAAACGGCTTCAGCATGATCAGCTTGTAAAACCTACTCCCCAATGAATCTGGCTCCATACTAAACAATATTTTTCCTATCTTTGCTACAAAATGAAGAAATTGCCCTTTCATCAATCCTAGCATCCTGTAGTGACAGAGGGAGTTAGGTTTATTTTCAGACCTTTCAAATGCTGGAGCTCTGCCCTTCCATAACTATCCACAGGCCTTAAACAGGCCTCCATCTGGGAGCTACACACTAACCCCATGCTCTCTAATAGCTAACTGGTCCCCTCACCTTTCTCTAGGGCATGCAGGAGCTCATTTATCATGCTACCAATGGCCTCTCGAGAAAGCTCTGGCTTTGATTCTATTGCTAAAAGATCAAGCTCATGCATCCGTGGTCGTAACTCCATGAAGTAGGTTCCATGGTCAGTGCCCAGTACCTGCATATTATATTCAAAGGCTTTGTTGGCCTCCTCCACGATCCTCTCTTTGGTCTTTAAATTCAAGTCCAGGGCATTCATTCTGGCTCGGTAGAACTGCTTGAATTGCTGGGCATTGTCCACATGCTCAAACAGGTAGAACTGGGTCCCTTCCCCAGTGCTGGGGAGTTTCAGTGCCCGCTGGGCCACCTTCTTCAGCACCTGGCCTCCTGAAAGGTCCCCCATGTAACGAGTATAAGCATGGGCCACCAGCAGCTCTGGCTCATTCTGCCCTACATAGTGGATCCGGTCCACATACTTCTGGGCAGCCTCAGAGCACTTCACCTGCTCCTCCCAGTTTTCACCAAAGAAATACTCCATGTCCTTGATCAGTGCTTGCTTCCGGTGTAGCTCCATGGGGAAATACAAGGGGGCGAAGGCTGGGTGGTCTTTGTTTCGGTCCATTTCCTCCTCAAGGGCCGAGTATGTGAAATAAAGTGCAGTAGTGGCCAGCTGTGAGGGTGATGAAGATCGTGGGAGAACATTATAAGCCAAACCAGCAGCTTTAGAACTAGGTTTTGTTTTGGGTTTTGGTTTTTCAAAAATAAGTTTTGTGTGTGTGTGTAGCCCTGGCTGTCCTAGAACTCATAGCATAGACCAGGCTGGCCCCAAACTCACAGAGACCCATCTGCCTCTGCCTCCCCAGTGCTGAGATTAAAGGTGTGCGCTGCCACAACTATCTAGCTTTTTTTTTTTTTTTTGGAACACCCACCATGTTTCAAGACTAGGTCAAGACAAAAGCCACTTTATCCAGTCCCAAAAACTCAGCTGTGACTCCTTTTTATACAGTGAACTACTTAACACACCTAGGAAGCTTCTATAACTTCTTTAAAAAAAAAAAAAAGTGAATATTTGCAAACATTTTTGTTAGTCCATTTAGGCTAGGACAGCCACAGCTTAACACCAGGAAAAAAAAATATATATATATATATATATAGCTGGGCATGGAGGCACAGACCTTCCATCCCCAGTATTTAGGAAGCTAAGGCTAGAGGACCCAGGGTTAGTCCATGGACTATGCAGCCAGACAGTCTCCAAGAAAAAGACCCAACAGCTTCTCCCTTTGAGTGGCTACAGTACAATTTCCTCAGCCAACTGAGGCCCCCCCCACCTCCCATCCATTAATAAAGTTTAGAATCCAACCCCATCTGACTGAGGGCACAAACCTTAAATAGCTCCTTCCTAATGTTTCCTTTCAAGAAGTCTTTGACAAACTGGGTATTTTCTGCCCGGTCATGTGCTTCCTTGGTCCCTTCCTTCAGGAGCTCAGAGAGGTCTGCCATTCTGTGGAATGAGTTTTATGTGTAAGACAGTAGCCCTTTCCGGTTCTCCAGAAAGGACTAAAGGGCCAAAGACAGTCTAGACCCCAGATACAGACTGAAGCTGGAGCTGCTCAGACTAGTTCAGCATGAACAGGTGTCTTATATGTGAGCACAGGGCAAGCAGATGTACAATCTGCCATAAAAACTCAGGGTGCATAAAGATTACTACTGTCTCCCCAAGACTGTCTGGATCCATGTATACATGTTAGTTAGCACCCAAATCAATGTTTTGGCTTCTGTGGCCACCTAGTGGCTGAAGAAACAAAACTTAATCCAGCCCAGAAAGTTGCCTTCTTCCCAATGAGGAACCAGTTCCTAGGGTGTTGTGTGGATGGGCCCAAGTGTGGGAAGATGAGACAGTTAAGAGATGAGGACCAAGATCTTGGTTTTGTATTCTTTCTTCTTCTTCTCTTATTTTCCCCCGCCCCTTCTCTTTTCTTCTCCTTTTTTGTTTTTCAAGGCAGGGTTTGTTTGTGTAGCCCTGGCTGTCCTGGAACTCGATCTGTAGAATTTGAACTCAGAACTTCCTGCCTCTGCCTCCCCGTTTTGTATTTCTTAACAGAATCACACAGGATAGTTACACCAATGAAGGGACAAGGAAGAAAAGTTTGATCCTAAGGACAGTGGAACCTAGGGAGAACTCCGGTGTATCCATACAGTCCATCTGTTAGAATGAGAAAATGTTTCAGTTCAAGGCCAGCTACACAAACAGTTCCAGGACTGTTCCACAGAGAAACCCTGTCTCAAAAACAAAACAACAACAACAAAAAAACAGAAACAGTCTAGCCTCTGCGTTTCATTTGTTTTTGTTTTTTAGATTAATTTGTATCACTCACATCCTGAGAATTGGTTTATTAACAATTATTTTAAGATATAATAACATAGCCAACAACGGGACTTTAATGAGAGGCTAGGAAAACTGCAGAGCAAAGCCCAGTAATTTAAATTCTGTAGAGATTTACAAGTAAAGGCTTGCCCGAGAACAGAGTTCAGATTCCACACAGTAGAGAGATAACACTGTAAAGGGAGTCAGCTTTGCCTCATCATTCCTCATGTGAGTTCAAGTGAAAACCCACTTAGGTTTGGGGGTTTGTTATTATTATTATTTTTTTGATTGTTTTTTTGAGACAAGGTTCCTCTGTGTAGCTCTGTCTGTCTTGGAACTCGCTCTGTAGAACAGGCTAGCCTCCAACCCAGAAATCTGCCTGCTTCTGCCGGGATCAAAGGTACACACCGCTATGCCTGGCACCACTTGGTTTTTAAAAAGAGAATAATGACTACCATGAAACCCTGACTCAGCACTCCCAGCATCTGGCCTGTCTCCATTGGTAACAAAACAGAAAACAGAGAATGGAACAGCTCAGGCTGGACAGGAGCCTGCAATGCCAATCAAACATCCCAGGGGCTACACAACTCAGGACTGATGAGCATCCCCAGGTGCCCCCGGCAGGCTGAAGCAGGACGATGGCGGTGAGAGCACAGGTGTGGACCCTCTCAATGAGAAGCAGTCAGCCGCTGTCACTCACTTGGTATGGTTTTCCTTCTCTGGGGCCATGGAGTTCTTTTTCTCTGACTCATCTACCCCCTCTGAGGTCTCCAATTCTGAAGACATTGTTGCTGAGTGGCTGGTGATGCCCTCCTCACTCTGGTCCTGTAAAGACACAAGAAATTGATGACTGAACAATGTCTTTTGGCTTTAAGCCAACATTAACCAAGGAGACACCCCCTGCACCTCAAGACTGTTTTTCACAACAAAGCTCTGTCATTACTAGGACAAATTCAGAATGTGGACAGATCTGAAGTTGGACAATAAGTTAAGTATAATTATAATGTTGCTGAATTTGTTCTTAGGCAATACACACTGGCATTCAGAAGTAAACAGCACGCTGTCTACACCTACTCTCAGCACTTCAGAAGAATGTAGGTAGGTGTGCTTCCCTGTGAAGAAAGCACACGAGGCAAATGCTGACAGTCTGGGTAAAAGGTACACAAAAGCTCTTTTTTAATTTTTTTTTTTTCCAGACAGGGTTTCTCTGTGTAACTTGCTGTCCTGGAACTTGCTTTGTAGACCAAGCTGGCCTCGAACTCACAGAGATCTGCCTGCCTCTGTCTCCCGAGTGCTGGGATTAACAGTGTGCACTACTACTGGGCTACAAAAGTTCTTTGTACTAGTCTTATCATTTTTCTCCCCTGCATGTTTGAAATTACACACAAATAAAAAGCTACTAAACACGTAAAAGAATCATTTTTAAAAAGCTGCTGGGGATCTCACCTTATTAAGCAATGCAAGGCTTTCCATTCTACCTGTGGGCTGTCAAGTAAAAAAAAGTATGAACAGAGTGTTGTTAGAGTTTAATTAAGCCAGGCTGTGCCCAACAGCTCCACTGTAGAACTGAACAGCTCAACAAGCCTGAGATACCTTCAAGTGAATCACCTAGCAAACTACCCCAAGCCTATTCTGTACTCTGCTGGGCTGCATGAAATAAAAAGCTAGCTGGTCAACTTCCACTGCCTATTCAAGGCTGACCTTTCATCAGCAAGGGAAATACAACCCCATAATAAGGCAATTTTATCCTCCATCTCAGGAGACGTCTACTCTAGCAGTACATAAAGGGAAACTTTAGACGAACAGTGCAACACAACATTACCAATAAGTCAACTCACAAAGACAGAAATTCCAACTCTAAAGCCATATCTGGCCAAGCTGGGCCAAGGAAAAAGAAAACTTAATTTTTTGCCTCAATTAGTGCTTCTTTACTGAAAATTTTCTACGACTGAGACAATCAGGTGTAAGAACAGCCCTTGAAGTAGGACTGTAGCTCAGGATTAGTTGCATCATCACTGCCCTGCTTAAGTATATATTTTTTTAAAACAATAAAATAATACTAATAACCTGTTGTTTATCACTTCAATAGTTGTCTAAACTCCAAGTACAATTTACTTATTTCCCTTTGAAGAATACTGAGTCCTCAAGGGTATCTGGAAGCTCCCTTTCCAGGAAGGCTCAGTTACCATATTCAACCAACATAGGTTCCTGCCGGGGAGACAAAATGTGTCCATTCTTGTTGCCGATTTACCACTCCTTGGCCTAATGGCCACACACGTAATACTAAGAGGTTACCTTGCCCCACTGAAAAAAATTATCTCAGTCTTTGAAAAGTTACATTTCCAAATCCTCTGTTGACCTGTACACTCTAGGACACACTCCTTAAAAATAGAAAACTGGGCCAGGCAGTGGTGCATACCTTTAATCCCAGCACTCGGGAGGCAAAGGCAGGCGGATCTCAGTGAGTTCGAGGCCAGTTTGGTTTCCAAAGAGGGCAGGACTTTTAACACAGAGAAACTTTGTCTTGAAAAAACAAACACACAAACAAACAAAACCCAGGAATCTATACCCTAATAATAGTCATACTATAAAGTAAGAAAATAAATCACACAGCCTAACAGCCAAGGCTTGAGCTACTCAAAGGACAGTAAACAACGAATGCCAGCACCACCCGTAACAGCTGACAAACTGTGACCACAGTTTAGTCTACATTAAAAAAAAGTGACAGGAGGTGGTGGCACACGCCTTTAACACCAGCACTTGGGAGGCAGAAGCAGGCGGATCTCTCTGAGTTCGAGGTCAAACTGGTCTACAAAGCAAGTTCCAGGACAGCCAGAACTGTGACCCAGAGAAACCTTGTCTCAAAAAACCAAAACCAAAAAAATCCAAACCACGACTACGACTATGTATAATCAGCACAGCACTGTGCAGGGCTGGGAATGTTGCTCAGAGGTAGAGTGCTTGCCCAGCAAGGATTACATCACCATGTAAGTCCATTAACAACGACAGGGAGGGAATCTGGAGAACTCTTCATTCATGGTTTTTGTGGCCAACTTAGCCAACTGGCTGTTCTTTTGTGTAAAGTAGCATTATCCTATTGGAAAGAAAAAAGAGAAAAGGGAAAGAGAGAAATACAGGAAAGAGTGAAAAGGAAACACAAATAGAAATTGGTTGGTATAAGAAAACTAGCAATGTTCTGCCCTGAACTAGTCAACAGGAAGTCAGTCCTTGGCCCTTCTGCTACAAGTTGCAGCAGAAAGGTCATTCTGTGCCCCACCCGACCCACCTTAAAAAACAAAAAAAACAAAAAAAAAACCTGACTGCTACTCCATAATTCCTGTACTGCCAGCTGTCTTCCCAATCAGCTACTGGTTTTCATTTTAATACCTGATTTGAGTGAAGCAGCAATTCCTACCACAGAGATTTCCAGCAAGAGGTACTCACATAGCAGATCTAAAACATCTACCTCAAAGCTGTTGTTCCTGGTAAAGCACTGTGAAGGCATTAGGACTTTCTGAAATAACAAATGTTATTCAAAGAGACTCTCCTTCATGGAGACTAACTCCAGCACATTTCACAAGGCCAGGTAATTCAGAGCACTGCTGCCAGGCAGAAAAGCAACCTAAGGACCATATCATGGTCATTTCCTATCCAATGATCTAAAGAATAATAAAGACTTCTGGTATTCATTCTGCACTGAAGGAAAGGAACAGATACAGAAAAGCAATGGCAGGGTGACCTGTTTCTGGGCACAATGCTGTGAGCCTGACTCATTGGGTAGTGACATTCAGCAACAATCAGTTCACGCCCACAACATGAGTCACTGTTGTTATCCCATATGCACAGGGAGGTTAAGTGGCTGCTCCTAGCATTCTTTACTAAGACTTGATCATGATTCCCTCTTTGAACAGATTTCTGCTGGGCATTAGGTTTCTCACCATTACTGTGAGTCCCCTGCCTGCTTCCCAGAAGGCTGTCTATGGTTCAAGATTTCACTACTATATATAACTGATACCATACTACCCTATATGTGACTGCCCCCAATTAAACCAGAAGCTTCCTACAGGGCTGATCAAAATTTCCCTCAGATTCACTATCAGGGTCCAATCCATCACAGCACAGCATCCTAAGGAGCCTCCAATCTGAGTTATAACTGTTACAATGTGCACACAGAATGCACTGGACATACAAGCTAAACGAAAATTTTATGTTGAGTGTGTAACTGGGTGCCTTGACACTAAATGAACCATTATGAGATCTGATTTTAACTTTAAATCTAATTCTTTTTTCTCTTTATTTTCCAAGTTTTAATTGACAAATAATTATGTATACTTACTGTGTACACTGTGATTTTTTTTTTTGAGACACGCATACATTGTGGAAAGATCACATGAGCAGCCTTAGTAACTGGCATCCCTGGACAAGCTTATGAGACCATGCCAGGACAAATAGGAAGGATCAACATAATAAACCCAGTCCCCGAAGGCAAACTGAAGAGTAACTTGGTCTCTTAAGCACCACTAAACTCTAGCATTCATGGGTGCCTGTTACCACAACACTTGAGGAGTGGAGACAGGAAGACTGTTATAAATGCCAAGGCCCTATCTCAAAACAATACAAAACTGCTGGGGGAGGTGGAGAGAGAAAAAATTAGCATTTGTAAGAATTAACCGCACATAAACTACTTGAGCCTGAAGCCCTAGAACTCCCCGTGGTAGGAGACCAGTTCTCAAAAGGCGCCCTCTCAGCCCAAACAAGCCTATATTCACCCACACAACTCCTCCCCATGGAATTACAAGAAGTTTTAAGAGAATTGAAATACCAAAGGCCAGGTTTACATTCCATTTAGCAAATGGATGGACAGAGAAGATGTGACCTGTGTTTCTAGGTCAGCCACCACTGGTACTGGAGGGACGTGCTGAGTGGATTTGCCAGTGTGTTGAAGCTGCTTCTGAACTCCTATCTACTGCTTATTATTACTAGAAACCCAGCTTATCTTCAAGCGTGGAAGGGGTAGCCTGACCCCAAACACAGGGCCTGATCTTTAGGTTTGGGAGATAAGGTCTCCATACTAATTAGCTCTTGGCAGTATGTGAGTCATTATTTCCGGAAGTTGAGTTTCCTCATCTGTTAAACAGGCCAACAAAATTTGCTTTACTTTCTCAAATATGTTGTGAAAACTACAATGAGATACCATGCATGAAAATGTTGTATGAAATGTAATGCTGCCTCAAATTCTGACCTCTTATTGAGAAAGCTGGAAGAATGAACAACTGGGAGAGCCCAGGGCTGGGTTTAGTAAGATGAGCATGACAACACAAGCCAGCACTTGGGAGGTGGAGGCAGAAAGAAGATCAGGAGTCATCCCTGGATAAAAATGAGTTCAAGGCCAGCCTGAGATACATGAGACCCTGTCACTAACAACTCAAAACTAAGAAAGAGCAGTTGGGTGATTATAGAACAATCAGGAAGGAAATATGAGAAATCCAGCCAATTCAGATGATTCTGGACGCATCATACCAGAAAACTCAGCCCTCTGCAGCAGTGTGAGGAAATAGCAGTTATCTGTTCTTTTCAAGGTAAGACCTGTGACCAAGGCTGGAAAGAATGCTCATACTCCTCAGTGCTGGCTCAGTTCAATGTTAGCTGTGCTGGATGTTGGGGACAACAGAGAAATAGATCAGCTCTAACCTAAGGAGACACTTGATAACAGGGGCCTTTCAACACTAAGAAAACATTTTCTAAGTAAAATGTTTCTAGAATAAATGGCCCCAGGTCTCTGAACTTTGTAACTACGGTTCCTCTGGAAATCTGGTATGTAAGTATCATGTTTTCTTCATTTTGATTTGTGGAAGTTCAACCCCACAGTTCACTGAATAGATGACTGTTGACCTCTTGATAAAGAGCAAGACCAGACGGGAAATCCTGGAAAAGTAAGGACTCCAGTGACAGTAACTTTAGCCTGATTTATGAAACACACCCTTGCAAATCTGGGTAAATGGCAAGAAAGCTAAATGCATAGGGTAGGTTTGTTCTGTGGCAGCACATTTTCCTAGTATTCTTAAAGTCCTATATTCTACCCCAGCACCGAAAAAAAAAAAATCAGGGTGTAGTGGTGTATCTTTGCAATCTTAATACTGGGGGAAGGCAGGGAGCAAGGCAGTTCAAAGCAAACCTAAGCTACATATTGAGACCTGGTCTCAAAAAATAGTAACAAAAACCTAAAAGTATCATCTTTTGCTTTAGAATCTTCAATAAGTGACATCTCAAGATTTTTTTTTTTAATTGAGGAAGATGGGTGTCCTCAACTCTATCATGACCAAATACCAGCATTCAGAGCAGACACCAGCAAAGGAGCCTGGAACTGACGGTTGCGGTGATCAGAAGTCTTGGTAAACAGCTTTCCTGTTTGTCTAACATGTGTGAGACGTTAAGTTCACTTCTCACAGCCCCACAGCAGGAAGGGGGGGGGGGTAGGGAGCCTT